GTCATGTATAGAAGTGTATATGAGGGAGCATTTCCTAAAATGGAAAGAGGTGGGTGGGGTGCCACTGTGTTTGATTTATTACATGAGCAATCTATATTAACAAATTGAAAAGATGAGAGGCTCTTATTTTATATTCTAGCTTGTCAGTATCCGTATTCTTGACTTCACAAACATCTAATTTGAACCAGTGCTGCATTCAACATACCACATGACACACAAAAATCAGTGTTTATCTGTGGGTTTTTTTAATATTTGCTTGTAAATTACTAAATTGAGTAATATATAGTACTAAAATTTGAATTATAATTTACAGTTTGATACCAAAGTTATTGATATAAATTCATGAAATAGTAGTTCAGTAAAATTTTGAATATGAGTCAACAAACGAAATGACATGGCCTTTCAGCCGTGACCTGTCTCGAAAGGGTTAAGTGGGTTCTCTCCAAATTATATGCCCCTCCCCCAAAAATGTAATTTGTTTTAGTTCCATATGGCACTGTGGTTTTTATTTTTCTATTAACACAACTTTTAATGTTTATCATTTCTGCATAATTCCAGGTTCTTAGGTAAACATCCATTATATCAGTTAAAAAAGTCTCATTTTCTTGTATCATGGATTGGTTCAGTTTTTTGCAGCTACAGTCAATTGATGGTCATAAACTGTATAAAATGTATCTGTGGTATATTTTGAGAAACTAATTTATATGTTGTGAATAAAGTACCTTCTGAAGATGTTGGTATGTTGTGAAAAAAATACATTTTGAAGTTTGGTAAGTTATGAAAAAATATCTTCTAAGGAGTTTTGTATGTGTAAGAAAAATACGTTCTGAAGAGATTATTATTTTTTAACTCTATACTATCTATGGTAAGACTAAGATGTTTGATGCTGAATATTGAGTCTTAAGAAAACAAAGATTTAATTTCTCTGTTAGAAATAATCTATATAGTTTTCCAGTTATGACAATATCTACCTTCAAGTTTAACATCATTGTCCTAGTTCTTTTAGGCTTGGTTATCTCAATCTTTTTTATAGTTGAGGTGTTTTAAAGTTCTCTGAATGTGTAATAGGATTCCTTATGCTGTTCTGAAGACACTGTTAGGTAATAATATATGTTGGCACTGCACATTAAAAAAAAAATACCTTTGTAAATATTATCCAACTAACCAAAAGAATTAGACAAATTTTCTTGTAGGATGTTAATTTTATGAATGGCTGTTATTGTTTCTCTATATATAGTAATGTAAAATACATGTGTATGATGTTTCTCTTAATTGATGTGATATGTGACAACGATTTCTTGCATAAAAGATATAAACCATAGTCATGCCCTAATGTGCTTTATTCTGTATGTCACTTTTTGAATCAGATATTTGTTTAATAACCTATGCCAAAATTTTTCAAATTCATTGGTGAAAAATCCTATTATAGCAAAGGGATACTGTAGTTTATATCCTAATGAAATATTTTCATTTTAGAGTGACCCAAAGAAATACAGTTTCACAAATCTTGATTGGCTGCTCAGATTATTGTTTTGGCCTGTTGTTTGTCAAGTAAATAATAGTTATTCAAGGAGCTAAAAATCTTTAGAACTAACAAAAAAGTAAAGAATTGCAACTTTTTCAAACTAGCTTTGTATTATAAATCTATTGTTGCTAGATAGAAAGTTTGAAATTTTTTCTCTTATCCATGAAAGTGATAAATTATGAATTGTAGGCTGTAGGAGCTAAAATGATCCACCCATATTTTTGGCAAATCTTAAAAACAATTTTTTAGTAATTGTGTTGAACCATTATTTAAGTGCTTTTATTGCTTGAATTGAAACAGTGTATGGGCTGTTCTATCACTGTTTGATTATAACTAAGAAACTTTACATAATATAATTCTGTATCTAAAGTGTTTTTACTAAAGATTTTCCTGTGAATTTATGAAGCCTTTAGTAAGTTTGAGTGAAAGACGATTTTTGTGATAGGAATGAAAATACTTCCTTTCATCTTACAGTTTCTTACTTCATATGCACAATGTATAGATCTTTCTAAATGAATATCAAATGTTTTATATCTCTCTCAACTTTAACAATAACTAGTGTAATCATCAATGTACTAAGGAAAAAAACTGAAAAATACAAAAAAAAAGACTTTTTTTTTCTTGAATAATTGTAGATTCTAACAGACAATAACAGTTATTTATCCTAACTACATTAGTTTTCTAACTTTCTCACATCTGCTTGCTTTTAAGTTTATTTCTTTACAAATTCCCTCTACTCCCTGTATAAGTACATGATAAACAATAACTCAGAGTTGGAGAACTTAGTGTAAGCAACTAGTTGAGTTATAATCACACGACACAGCTAACCTCAGCTGGCCTCGTGACATATTTTTTATTACACTTGTTTTCATTTCCTTTTTTGTTAACTAGTCTAATTGAATTTTCTAATTTTTACATTTTAGTTATTTAAGTTAAAATTTACATAACAATATATAAAAAATAATTATAAAAACCAAGAAATTTTGGACTTATGTTAGAGTTGAAGCCTATTTCAGTCATTTGTACTTGAGAACACACTTCCATAACACTAGTTTTTACATACCACGTTGTTATCCATAAAGTCATTACAGCTCCTTTCAAACGTGCATTTTAGAACATAAAAAGTATATCAGAATAGAATGTCTTAAAACTACTATAATTCAACTGGCTTTCTGACTAAGTAAATTAGAAAAAATTCTGCTAACTGCTTGAGCAGAAAAATATGATTGCAAACAATGCAACTGAGGCTAAATATCTACTTATGGGCACCAAAATGAAGTATAACAATATAAGGAATATTGTAAAGCAATAAAATTGAAGGTTTTAAATTTGTATTCTGGCTTTTCAATATCTATAGTATATGTTTCTAATTAGTTGTACAATCAGAAAATTATATAAGGGTAGAAATAAAATTTTAAATGGGCAAATTGGAGCTCAGATTTGTCAGGTGACACTGTGACACAAAAATTGAAAGTTCATTCGTAGGTTTTCTTTTTAAATTAAGAAACTAAAATTTAGATAATATCAAATATATATATTATTACTACATTTTTATGCCAAGTTTGCTTACATACATTAATAATTTAATTTTGAATATAATTCCATAAAAAAAATATGATGTGCAATTTGATCCACCCGTGTACACAGGATTAAAATATCACATGCTGTATGACATCTTATTTATATTGAAAAAAATGTATATCTTCAAAATGAAAAAGCTTGTTCTCTTTAATAGAAGTGTAGTGGTAATTTCTTTGGAATAATTTTTTTAATGTAAACACCTCCAAAAATAGCAAATATGCTAGGGTTAAAAAGTATGTCTTACATTTATGTCAGTGCATACATTATGACATTTTGTTTTTAATATTAAAAAATACAGATATTCTAATAGCTCAAACAGGATGGATGTGGCAAACTATTAAATTAAATGAATTGTTTAGAGATTTTAACCGGTAAAGTTTGTTTTTAACATAATGTTTTTTTGTGCAGTGTTATCTTGGAGATGCTTTCCGTTGTGCCAGCTGTCCTTACCTTGGGATGCCAGCATTTAAACCGGGAGAGAAAATTGTTTTAAATGATCGACAACTGAAGGCAGATGTCTAGATATGACAGCATCACCTTGCCAGGAAGAGATTCAATCCTCAGCCAACCAGTTTAAAAATTTCATATAACATATCCTGAAGAACATGGGTTCAAATAACTAAGCTACTAATAGCAGACTCAGCTGAAAATTTAAAATCAGCAGCTGATTTGGTGAATTTCACATTATAAACTGAGGAGAAGTTGAGTTTGTTAATGTGACTGAAGGATTTAAATGGATATTTCTTCAAATGAAGCACCAATTTATTTTTTGTTTTGAAGTAATTTTACATGCAAGATAGTTTTCAGACCTTTAAGTACCCTTTTTTTTTTTATAGAAATTGTCAGTATTTGCTGGTTTAACTTGTGAAACAAATGAATGCATCTATGAAAATAAGTCTTATAAAATAAAAAAATATTTTAACTTTGGAAAGAACTTTTAAAACATTTAATACAAATTTACAAAAGAACATTTGAAATGGAACAGTCGAAACTGTATGGATTACTTTATGATCAGCAGTTTTTTTGTTTTTACTCATGTGAAATTTTCCCAGTTATTATTTATGATATGAAAAGATTGAATTCATCCATTATGATACATATTCACCTGTTTCTTATCAAGTATTTGACAAGAAATACTGGTGTGTTATGTATATACTCGTAATATTTTCACGTACTTATAGCCAGGAATGGAGTAACACTTGAACGGAAAGGCACACATTTATGTAATGGTAGTGCGATATTTTGTTGGTGTATGACATATGTAGCTCTCTGTTTGATTTCTTGCTTTAGTGTTTTTCAAGTTTTAAGGAGTTTGGTATGACTGTCTAGTATGTTCTGGTGAAATGTAGATTAACATTAAACACTCGATCAGTGGTATGTAGTTAACCCTAAGCATGTATTTTTATTATAAAAGTATAAACTTTTTTGATGCACATATCTTAAACAATAGTTTTAGTAAAGCTTGATAAATTTGATGTGGAAGTAATAATTTGTGGCATTTAAGAATAATTATAATAATTGTTTGGAAGAAAGCAAATACGAATTGAATGTATTTTTGCTTATCAGGTTTCATAGATACATAAAGTAGCAAAATGTCTAAACAGACTGAATAGCTATATGTATACGTGTATATATATATTGTCATAGTAGTAAGATAATTGTGTTCTGTTGAAGATTATATATATAATACATTTAATCCCTTCTGCAATAAAAGTACATGTTTATGTATGAGCTGTAATGAATACACTATTAGCTAAACAATAATGAATAGTTTGTTGGTTTTGTTCAATTGTGAAACAAAATTTAGTTTACCGATGTTGATTGGACAGTTTAAACTCAACATGTACTAAAAGTACACTTGCTCTAAAAATGAACACGTTTAGGTATGTTCACTAATTTGGACATATTTTAAGTGTGCAAAATCCTTTATACAGGCTTAATGTCATAGAACTGTAGCCATGTTTAGGAAATTGTACTAGTTTCTAGAAAAAACATTTACTTAGCTGGAATCAATAACAAGAATATATATACAGGGTGGCCCAAAAGTAGGTGTACAGTTGATAATTGATCACGTGACATGAAAATATGGGAAAGTTAATCCCGCTGGTGTTCAAATTGAAACCCATCTCTGTTCACTCAATCGTAGAGTCTTCCTGTCACTTCTGTTGGTCATTAGTCAGGTTATCAGCCGTTATATTCTTATCACCTAAAAACAGTTTAATAGATTCAACATATGTGACTGTATACCTACTTTTGGATCACTGTATATATATATATACATACAAGCGCACACACACATAAAAACACATTTTTATGAATTGGAATGGGAAGACACGTTTATGTAATATTAGAATGATAGTTTTTAAATATATCCCTTATTTAATTCTGGGTAATTTCTTGTTTCAGTAATAACATTTACCTGAAAGAGAAGATTACCTTAAATGACTGACACTGATGGCAGGTGATTAGATTTGACAACAGGGGGACTTTGCCAGGAAGTAATTTAGTCTTCAGTCAGTAATGTAAAAACTTCAAGTGTGCTAACATGCTCTGAAAAATATAGGTTCAAATAAATGAGGTAATAATAGTTTATTCAGCTGGAAATTAAAATCGATCAAGCTTCAAGAGAGTATAATTAAGGCAGAGAAAGGCAAAATATTTAATTGTTTACAGAAGTCAAAAATTAAAATATTTTCTTAAAATAAATTTGTCTTATAAAAGTGGAGGCAATATTTCAGCTAGAAGAATGTTAATTTGATGAACAACAGAAAGTTGTCGAAAATGTTGCTGGAAATTATTTGTAAATAATCTTGGAATTTGAGATTTAGTTACTAAAAGCCAGTAGACTTTTTAACTTTCCTACCTTGCTCCATTAGGTTATTTTGATTTTGCTTTCAGAACGTTTTAGTGAGTTGCAATACTAGGGTAAGGTTAGACAAGTATTGAAGTGATGAAGTTTCCTTGTTTGTACAGGAGTAGAAAGGATGGTCATTAATGGTTAGTGGTGACTGTCACTAATAAGGGACTTTAAACCACTGTTGTTTGTGGTTCATTTCAATGATATTAATAACATTTTCGTTATATTACTAAATTTAGAAATTATGTATAACTGATGTCTCCAGGTATCATGGATGGCATGTGAAGAGTCGTTAAAAGAATACAAAGTGAAGAAATGTGAACTTATTTCAAATACGAATTAATATTTAATAGACCCGTTTATACATGCAAAAACTTTTTTAACCTAATGGATCAAAGTATACAAAATAAGTACGTGTTTTTCTAACTAAAGTAAGTGCACAGATACGTGGTGGTGGGGGCGAGAGGCATGGTTAGCTTACTCTCAGCCAACTCTGTGGAGTGGTACCAAATTTACATAAAGTATTTCAAAGTGTGGAAATGTACGTTAATGCTCAAAGCTACAGCGCCGGGTGTGGTCTAGTAGTTGTGTGCCCCTACTGTGGGTGGAATGGTGGATGCTGTTGACTAGTTGCCTTCCCTCTAATCTGCAGTATAAAATTAGGGACAGCTATAGCATATAACCTTTGTGTAGCGTTGCAAGAAATTCTAAAAAAAAAAAACAACATCATGGGCCTGTTTCATATTTCTCGCATAATGATGTTATTTATAATACGTCGCCAACCAGCTAGTGTCAGCGGTACTGTGAATTAAGGGTTGGTGAATTTTTCAGTTGCTAATAATTTACTTACAAGATCAAATTCATCACGTCAATTTTTAATTTAACCATCTCTACAAATTATTCAGAGAAAAATGAAACTTTTTTGTAGAGAAGTTACACTGACCGACTTTCGACAAATATTTGCTCGTGAATCCAGTACGCTTCCATTTTATGTTTTGTGGTAAGTTACTTGAATTTAGAAATGTATCGATCAGCATGAAGCCCACTGAACTTACAGATATTACCTCGGACAACTCTATGTTGGATACGATGATTCGTAAGCAACATTCAACGTGGTAGAATACACTATAATTTTAAATGAACTTTAACATGAATACGTGGAAAAGTAGAATTCAAATAGTTAAAGCCTTTGGCATTTCTTATATATTGTCTTACTCCATGAAGACAAAATTAATAGGGAGTTACCCAGTTGAAGTTGAGAAGATAAAAGGTACTACTTTATATTTCAAGTACCAAATATTGATTACAGATTATTTAATGGTAATTATATCGTGCCTATAAGATAGGTTCTATTGAATTACTTCTTTTTTTATGAGGGATCGGCTATATATATAACTTAAATACTGATGCCATAAAATTTTTAATACGGATAATTAATGTAAATTTATTTACACAAAATGTATTCACCGGTGTATTGTGGGTAAATAAAGATTTACAAATTATTAAACAAGCTTGTTTAATTCAAGTGTTTAAAGGGTGTCAGTTAATTATTCTAATAGCGGTAAACAGATTACGAATTTAAAACTGTGTTAAAGATGTAAATGAATTCTAAACCAACATATAGTGAAATTATTTAAGAAAATCATGTGAACAAACATGAATATTTTTTTTAATCAGCCG